TTTACAATAGGGAGATCAGAATAAGGTCTTTTTCGCTTCGGAAAAATTTGAGCTTTTTTATATATCGAGGAAGTATGAAACTACAAACCCGATTATAAGAATAAGTCGGGACCTAATCATTACGCCAATCCCTTTAGAATTTATCAACAGAGTATAACCGACTTTATACTAGCTTGGTATTCTTTTCAATTAACGCTTAATATTCTTATAGCATATCAAAATGTACATTACGAAAACTATACGCATTACATCCTACATCCGATCAATAGCTTATATAGCCTATAAACTATCTGCAGTCTGTTTGCGAAAAACAATCATTACCTGTATACTCCCCGTTGCTCTTTTCGACTCCAAAGTATAGTTTGATGAGCTATACAAATAATACCCAAATACAAACTATATTCAAATCAACACCAGAATCAAGAAACATATCAATCTAATCAGCAAAACGATTCACAATGCAATACAGGGAGCTTTACCCATTTAAAAAACAACCCCGATAACCACACTCCTTATAAAAGCTAATCTCCCAACTGGAATTGTTACACTAGAGCAAGCCAGATTGAGATTCACATTTCGATTTCAAATAATGGATATACAATACCTACTTGTAAATCAATTAAAGCTGTATATCAGAAAAAGAGGATAAGGTATAGGTATATTGAAAAATTCCATTACCAGATTGTAGAAAATAAGACAAGCAATCCCTGCAACCGAATACCCTAAACTTCTATAACCACATTTTTTCTCTGAGTACTGCATTGATTTAATTAATAGTATAAGCAAAAAGGATATTACGAAAGTATTTAAAGACTAATAAAACCTAATTTCTCAAAAAGATTATTCTATATTCTCAAATAGATTCGAACAATATAATGAATGCAATCATTGCGTAAAATATGGTTTTGCGATTTATTACAATAAGCAACAGATTGATAGTAACTATAACTGTATATACGAACAGTTGCATATCTTTAATGCTAAGGCGATCGGCGTGTAATGGGGATTAGAGCGCCTTCTGAACACTATCAAATGCCTTTATCAAGGCTGAATATAGCTATATATTAATAGCACCTTAGTAATCTGAAGAATGCAAAAAAGCACTACTGGTTCCTCTTAATAGGCTTATCATAAATATTATCAAGCAATACGATACTACAATATTACAGTCAAGTGATTCCCTGAGCATACCAAGATAGAGAGCAACGAGACAGCTGATTGCTTTACCAATTAGAATACAATTGGACCACTTGATCCTGGTCTATCGTGCCTCCCCACTGTTAGCAATTCCTGCTTTATTCTATATACCAAATATCAATATTTAAAAAGTAAATAATGAAATACGAAAAGAAATCTGATCTCCGAAATATACAATGTATGGAAACCGGTATATAATACCTTGAAACTGGAAAGCCTTAAGCTTTCTTATAGAGTACTATACAGACTTATAGCGATATGGACCAAATACAATAACTTTATAGTTTATTATATCAAATTCAATCACAAAAATAGTATAAATATTTATATATATAGAATCGAGAAAAGTCTATTATACTTTTTTCGATATCCAATCAATAATCAGATACACAGCAATTAACTACTTGTACTAAATCGATTACAATCCGAATAGAATATAATAGCATATATCAATCATATTCTATAATTACAATATAGCTTTACTGACCTTTTCATTAGATCTAGATTCTATACTAAAATATATCCAAACTATATATAATCATATAGATACCAACCTGCTTCAATACTCCGAGGACAAGCTTTCTACCCCAATCAACCTAAGACTCGCACTGATTAGCTATAAGCGCCCCGAGCGCTCTCCCGATCGATAGCAATCGACCCGATCATCCGCCGATACCCGGACGATATACGAAACAAGATTCTCTAGAATAGAACCACAAACCCTTAAACAGAATAGCTGTAGGATTGCTATAAGTGATATTAAACGGGGAAATACCAAAGGCAACAAGCCTCTAATTAGCTAATATTATACTACTATGAGCAGCTGGAACGCTAGCGGCCCGTAGACCCGCTCCTTAGTATATCTAGAATACCCCTTGGGAGGTCAGATATTAGACGTTAATCACTATAAATAAATAAAAATAAATAAAATTTATTTAGAAGATTAAGAAAAAATAGAAAATTTCTTATAAATAAATATTTAAAGGGATACCCTCAAAATAACAGGGATTATTTATATTATTGTAAACTCACTGTATACTATATCTCTATATCTGTTAATTTTTTTGAATTTTTTTTTTTTGAATTTCTATATAGATTTGAATTCAAAATTTTCAAAAAGATATAACGTGGTTTATCAGCAGTCCGCCCATATCACTAGTCCGCCCACTTTTCTTCTAATTCACATCTTCAAATCTATATTATTCAATAACAATTGAATCAATTGATTAAAACTATTAAGAATCTAATAATCTAGAATCGATTATATTGTTTTAACAAGTTTTTGAATTATAACCTGGTATTCCATACTTATTATAATACTTATTAGAAAATGCTTCCCTACTAGAATTTCCCCTATTTTGATGCTCATTGTGTTGAATCTGAATATCAATCTTTTATTGAGATAATATATCTGCAGTCTTTTGTTCAGTAAGTATTTCTCTATTATGTAGTTGAATCTTTTTAGTATGTCGATGCTTGTTTAATATCTTATTTGCTTTTCGAAGTATACGATTCTCTGTACTTAAAAGTGTATTCTCATAAGCTAATCTTTCTATATCTTTAGCTAGAGCTAATACAGTTTTGAATATAGGTATAGGGAAGCTTGATTGATAACAAGTCATTCAAGATTTTACTAAAGTTGATTGTAAAAGAGCTTCAGTTGGATTGCAAGGTGTTTGAGAGATTCAAGAGTTTAAATCGATAAATAGAGGGGTAGGTGTACGAATTCGAATATCCAATTTTGAGAGTATAGCTTAGGAATCAAATGGTATTAGATCTGCTTTTCGAAAACCAGCTTTTGTATTCTGAGCTGTAATTGAATCTTGATATATAGTTTTAAAAGCTATAAAGAATTCAATCTTTATGATATAGTTGATATAAGCTTTAATAAATATATCAATTTGATAACTATATGCCTGTTTCAATATATCAAAACAGCCAACATCGAATGGTTGAGTTAAATGACTTGAATGTAGTGGTAACTTTAGATATATAATGTTATGTGACTTGCAATATGATTGAAAAGATATCGATTCGTAACTTTCGTGCTTATCTAGTACTAGCATTCGATATTTGCTCTTCGTTTGATGAATAGTATACTTGTCGAAGTGCTTTATTCATTCTAATCCTATCTCATTGTTTGTTTATCCATTAGAAATAGATTTAATAACCCAATCTACAGGAAAACCGCTTTCCATATATCAATTAAAAGATGATATTGTTCTTGCACTATTAAAAATAGTAGTATAGTCTCACCCTCCCTATTCCTATATATAATCGCTATAGCCTACTTTCTATTGCCTAATTGTATTGTCTTGCTTCTGCTATTTCGTTCAGTATTAGTTATCACTATTCCGGAACATATTATATCTATCATAAAGCCGGTTTCATCGAAATTGTAGAAATCGCAATCGAAAATACTATATTTTGCCTGTATATTCGAAACTAATCGAAACTACTCTTCAATAAGCTTAGAATCTTTGCAAAAAGCTCTTTGAAAGTTATAAATGTAACTAAAACAATCTTTAATTTTATATAACACTTTACAAATCAATAAACTTAAAGCTTTTCAATCTTTTTTGTATCTTATATTTCGAATATATAATTCATTATATCTTCAATACTATTTAATTTAAATGAAAATCCTTTATTATCTATATCAATTATATATTGAATAAATACCTTGTCTTCCAATTTAATCAAATTATAATTTTTTAATCGATATTCAACCATATTAATACAATCTTTGATTTTATCCCTCAAAATAAATCGAGGTATATTATAAAGTATTACTACTTTTCGAATTGATAATTACGGATCGATTTTAATAACTTCAATAACTAAAATTATTCGTACTTTTTTAGAATGATTCTTTATAAATAATTATTGATAAAATGTATATTGAAATAAGAGAATTGAAAATACCAAAAAAGTGGGCGGACTAGTGATATGGGCGGACTGCTGATAAACCACGTTATAGTTTTCTTTTAATAATTGTTGTTAAAAAGTTATTAAAGATTTTATAAAAATTTCAAATTTGTATGTGATTTCTATACAAATTAAAAAATCGATATTTTGAAGCTTTAGATCTCAATACAGAAAAATCCTAAAAATCTAAAATTTTTAGAATAAGTTTAAAACGATTTGAATTATATATATATAAATTTTTAATGAATTCTATTCATAAATAAGAAAGTTAGAAATTCCATTTTTGGTGTGAAAAGTGGTCGAAAAGTGGCCCAAAACAGGGGTGGCCCGAAAGTAGGGTAACCGACTTACTTTTTGTTCAACTATTGGTTAGTTTGGAAACATTTAGTCACGGTTATGAAAGTTGCGATCTTTATAATTATTAGTAAATAATTCTTTAAATGAATTCGGCCGACTGCATGAATGCGCCACCGATTATTTACTCCTTTAACCGAAGCGATTGATACTAGGCTAACCTTGTGTGATATCACCAAAGAGATCTCCCTCAGATTTTCAGGGTACTAAAGCCCCACTGCTAACTTTCTCCACAACTCTTATTTCTATCTTCTGTGCCGCCTGCGCCGTCTTAGCTGTAATGTAAGTTGCTGTAATGGATCATTAATAATTTTATGAGCATAGTTACTTCGTCACGCGCTGGATGACATTGAAGTTACACTAAACCCGTTAAAATCTAGATTATTTTTTGAAAACATTTGATTTTCAGTTCAAAATCAAAAAATGTCATTCATTACAATAGCGATTTTTGAAGGGAACTATTATTCTGAGGGCAAATTTCGACACTAGCTCCTATCTGAAGGGAAAAGCCGGTAGCCAAGTTACAACACCAGCACGCGGACTGTCATGACTTGCTGGAAGTAACCAAAGCGCTGAGGTTGATTTGGGAACCAGATAAATCCCGGAAGATCAGTTTTGAAAGCTGGCTGTACGGCCGTCTTGCTATTGTCAGTTATGTCTCGATACTTCGTCTCTGCGAGGAAATCAGGCAGCTGCTGTAGAACAGGTCCCACGGTATCGAAGCTAGACAAGGCGAGTCAGGGATGATGGTTTCTTAAGATAGGAGGAGCTCTTACAAGTGATGAATTCCACCCTGATAGTTCTTGTCTGCTAGAACAGAAGTAGTAGAGCTTGAGCTGAAGCGGTCCTTGCTAGTCTCCTTAATTTGTCCAGCCGAGGCTATATACCGTAGGATACGGCCTTGAGATGTTAAGCATGAGATTTTGAGCGTCTTTGGGAATTAATATTCTTACCTAAGAGTTCTGGAGCTGCATTTGTCTTCAGAGCTAGCGCTTCGACACTGATTGGATCTTTGCTCTCCTGAATAGCATTAAAGATACCTAGATCGACACCAATACGAGCAGCGGTGATTTGAAGGTGCTTCAAAATTAGTAAAACTACATCGTGGCTGCAATACTAACTGATTGGGTGACACTCACTAATCCTGCGAATCACTGAAGTGTATCATAAGGAGTCTCGATGCTGTACTGGAGGGTTTGCAAAGTATCTATCAACTTCTTGCGGGCAGCCTCGTCCGCGTTTGCGGCCAGCTTCTGAATCTGAGTAACGATGGCACTCATATTTGTCGTTCTTCTACTGAACTCTGCAGATAGTAAATCGATCGGATTGGTTGAAAATGTTAAGAACTCAAGTAAATTGAAATGTAGTGGTGTGAAATTCGTTGTTGGAGTTGAGAGAGAGGTAGGAAAAGTGAAGTAAATGACTGGAAGTAAGTACACGAGCCTCAGGCTCTAGATGCAGACGATAGTCCGGTAAATCTTGAATGGATAGTGAATTTAGGGAATAACATTTAATCAATAAATCTTTTTAATGTAAAATAAGATGCATCTTAATCCGAAGCTAGACTATACAGAGTATAAGATAAGTGCACTCTTAATATTATCACTTTTGAGTATTTTAGAGCTTGTAACACGCGTGTGTAACGCTCTTGTCACGCACATGTTGAAGGGTTGCATGTAAGCACTAGTCAAAGTATTGAATAATAATACCCACTTATTTTAGATAACGTGGTTTATCATCATGTGGGCCATATCATCATGTGGGCCACTTTCACCTTAATTATTATCTCTTTACTTTAATATGCAATTTATTAACAATTTATTATGGAAATGATTAATAAAGAAATATAAATTATTCTGGTTATTCAAACTATTCAAAAAGACAAAAAATTAAGTATTTGAAAAGCTGTTAAATTATATAATATTCTGTATATAATAATTTAGTACAGAATGAATAGTTTAATCTCTTATACAAAATATCGATACAAAATCTATAAGATTATAGAATTGAAAAAGAAAGCGATTATTCAATATATAATTGATATGGATAATAAAGGATTTCTGTTTAAACTTAAAAGTATAAAAGATATAGTAAATCATATTCTTGAATCGAAAAGTGCAAAATCTATTGGAAAACTTTAGGCGTATCGATTCATAAAGTATTGAATCGAATTAAGATATGTTTTAATTGTATTTATAACTTTCAAAAAACTCTTTATAAAAATCCTGAGTTTATTAAGAAATAGTTTTGATTAGTTTCAGAAAAGATGTGTATTGTAGGTAAGGTTTTAGTATTAAGTTTAGTGCGTATTATATTGAAAACTATGTATAATCTAGTTGACTATATTAATCAAGATGATTATATAATACACCTAATGCATTTAGCCTATTTTCTAGATTGATTCTATAAGACATGCACTCTTATATGTATACTTTAATTAAGTTAAAATAAGTTCTATTTCCATATTCCTTTTATATATACTATAATAGTCATATAGTATACTTAATCCTCTTATTTTATTAATCAATTAATAATCACCATAAAAATCCATCTATATGCTAGCTTACCATTATATTTAAATTAAATGGATAGTAGAATTCGCTAAATTAATAATTAGAGTATTTATAGTTTATTATCTTAATATAACTTTACTTATTTTGGGCAAAGTTAGAATATAGATTCTATTTTTTTTTAAAAAGGGAAAAGAGAAAAGATTAATCCTATAAGACAAATAGTATAATTTGTTATACATCAATTCCTTTTTGTAAATTAAATGGAAGAGTGGACTTATAAGTACCAGCTTGTAAATTCTGATATTCCAATATATCATTCTCGAATAGTATGTGTAAATATCTGATTTGAAATTTGAAAAACTTTAAATAGTCAATATAAAATGATTTGCGAATAGCTTTTTTATTGATTTATTGCAATTTATAGAATTTCTAATAATCTTCTATAAAATTGATGATGACAAAGGGATTATGGTAGAAAGGGTATAGTTTCTTTTTAACTGAGGTGTTGTTATATAGTATTATTATATTTCCTGATTGATATATAAAATTATTTTATATATCTATATTATGTTTTTTCTTATTAATAGCTTTTTTTCAGTCAGATTATTCCAAAGCTTCTTATTTAATTAGCTCCTGGTTGTATATAAATTCGAAAACTTTAGTATAGTATATCTTAAAAGGAAACTCCTTATTAATATTCTTAATAATAAAAAGGTAACTCTATATTTCCTTTTATTTATAAAAAGGATATTCGATTTTTAAAGGGCTAACTAATTGAAAGCCAAATATAATCTTATAAGGGGAATGATCTAAATATAATACTTTTTGTATATTGAGAGAGTTAATGCTAATTTGAATCTCAAATGGCTAATCAATAATATTAGATTCGATCTTTTTAAGTATTCTTTGAAATAGATCGTTTCCTTTTTTGATTATTCCGGATAACTTTTTTATTTCGATAATAATAAAAATGAAAAACATACCGGATTTTTTAGAAAAACTGTGTAAAGTCTTGTTTTCAAAATGTATATCAAAATCGTGTATTCCTCTAATAAGGATTCCAATTGCATTAAAAAACCAGTCTAGATATTTAATAGTCTTTGTTCTTATAATACTAACTATTAGGAATATCTAAATATAATAAAAGAAATAATCAATAATTAATAAAATATAAGTGAAATTGAGATATCCTTCTTTATCGAATATATTATTATTATAATCTATATTTTCAATAATAAGTCTTATATTTATTAGTTTCTATACTACAGGCTAAGTTATATTTAGAATTTAAGCTTTATTGATTAATATAGATAAAAGTAATTCTATAAAATCAAATCTGATAAGAATAAGTGGATAATCAATTTTAAAAGATATTAAGTGAGAGATATACTATTGAATATTATATTTAATATATTTTAAATAATCTAAAATGTATTATTTGATATTTGAAATTAGATAAGGTTAATAATGGTTTCTAAACTTTTTAATAATCAATTCTATAGTAAAGTATTCTTTTTGATTATATATATATAATAAAATATTAGATATCTTATATTTTTGTATGTAATACTTATTAACTTTATAGACTATATAAAAAAGTTTATCTTTGAATAAGAAAAAATCCTTAGTATAGTATAAAAAAAGATATCTTTTCAAGAGTAGAAATTCTATTGAGAAATATATTAATAGAAATATAATTGAATATATTATTGTGTGAACAAGGGAATTCACTTCAAAAGAATGACTTCAATATAATGGCTACTGTATCAAAGATATTTAGGCAAATGTAAAGGAGATTAGCTCTTTCAATAATGCCTATATAAGGCCTACTACTTCCCCTCATTAGCTAGCTCTTTAGACAGAATACAATACAGACATTTAGGGGCCTATTAATAATAATGGGAACCACATCTCCCGTATTCCTGATCTCATTATTGAACCAATACTAATTAATGATATCACAAATTACTTAACTTATTTATTCAAAATACCTTCTCACTTTTACTTTTTTTATTTCCCATTATCAGTACTATAACATCCCAGGGAAGTGTTAGTACTAGCTCTAAGCAAACTAACAAAAAACCCGATACTAACAAAAAACCTATTCCATCCGATCAATCCACTGGTATAAAAGGATTTATCAATATGATAACTAACAACACCAATCCTTTGCAACAAAAGTTCAAGATTTCTTTTATAAAGATATAATCAATGCTTCTCCTTATCCTTCTACTTCTTTCAATCTCTATATTCCTAATAAAACAGTAACTGAAAAAAAAAAAACTCAGGAAACTGCTAAGGATTTGAAGTTCAAAGGAGAATTTTAGAATTATTCCTTTTCAAAAGATCTCAATAAAGCTAGATAGTTCTATAAAGGATATACATTCAAGATGGGGACAGAACATTAGATTGATGAATACTTTCTTTTTCGAATAGCTATATACTCAAATACAAGAATCACCAACACATTTCTTCAAAATACAATCACATTCGATTTCGAACTCATTCAATAAGCCCTACTCAGAAATATTGATAAGTTAATATTATATGACTTTTACAAGATCTTGTAATATTATAGAGTTTATATCAATATAAATGCAAATCTCGATGATGCTTTAATAGAAGCATTTCTTTACAAAGAATATTACAATTAGACTGCGAATCAGCTTCTGGAATATCAGATTAATGAGGTATAACCATTTGTATCTACAAAATGGGCCTATCTTTCTATCGGACTCGATTCGAGACTATAAATCGAACCTTTTATCGAATCTCAAAATAATATTCCAGCTAATTATCTAACTTTATCAAAACCCAGCAAAATTATAAGTGATTCGATTATTCCTTTTAATATACATGGAGGACTAGCTCTATTCCAATTTGGGGATATACAAATCTCATATACATTTTTACTAATACTAGAATTAGGCTCTAGAATTCCATTGGTTGATGTTTCTATAGGATCATCTAATAATAGTGATAATCCGGATAATAATAATAATTGGGGCGGTGGTTGAGGTGGCAATAATAGTAGAAGCGGTGGTAATGGTGGTAGAGGTGGCGATAGAGATAATAGGGATAGGGATTATTCTGATTGTTTTAATTGCAAGAATAATGATCAATGCAATTAGAGCCATTGTTTTATTAATCTTTCGAAAATCTATAGGGATAACAATAAATATAAGAATATCGATAATTCCTTTAATCTAAAGATCTTTATATTCGGGAAGCATTATCATAAAGTATTTGTATCAGTGAAGATAACTATAACAGCCTTTCCGATTATACTCACAAATACAGCTAGAGACTACTATCAAGCAAATCTTAGTAGTCTTTCTGATTCGTATCAAAGCTTATACAACATAATAATCAACAATTTCGAAGGATCTGAATATTAACGGAATATATTTCTCAAGTAAAATAATATTACTTTTAAGGATTATATCGAGAAAAACCTATCTATAAAGCCTTAGGAAATATTTAATATAATGATTATAGATTTATATTTCCTTTAGTATATTATTCTTAGGATAATACACAATCCTCAATTGTATTATATTAAGATTTTATCTGCATGTAATAGTATTCCGGAGTGCTATTCTACAATATACAACCCTTATCTAATTGTTACAAAACTTATTAACCAGATTAAACAAACTATCGACTCTTATCGAAAAGCATTTCCGAAACCATACCCTCCACCTGAGATATTCCTTACAGATCAATGTTTCTATAATAGTGCATCTTTGAATTCTTCCTTTCGAAAA